ATGTGCAGGGGAAGCCCTTCCAGCCAGCAGCTTAGCCCAGGCTCAATCCTGAGAGGTTGGTTTGATTGGTCCATATGTTCATTCATTCAGTAGGTATTTTGAGCAAGTTATCTATATCAGGCCAGAGGTCAGGATGCAGCATCTGAACAAAACAGGCATGGTATCTGTCCTCATGGGGCTGATACTCCAGGGGGTCCTCCCTTGGTAACATATAGTTAGAAACTGTGTAAACCACAAGTATTGCCTGGAAATCTCTAAATAAGAGAGAATGGTTGAATCTAAAAAACACAGGTGAGTTGTTTGTCCACATTCTTCACCCCAGCTTGCTGGGATCTCTGGAGGAGAAACACCTAGCCCTACCTGCCATGCCACCCTCCGCCTATACTCCAGGCCCCACTCCCAGAGAAGCCAGCATGACTTAGAGCCTAGTCGGCAATGTGGTGTAACAGAGGCACATTTGTCAAAGCCTGCTGCTGCGGTGATCTCCATAAAAGATGGAGATGGCGCTGCTGTGCATGTGTGAGCACCCATGTCTCCACAGGGTAGGACATTAAGCCCACAGTAAGATTTGTGTGCTACATCTGAGTAATGAGCCATGAAATTGACATTATAAGTTTAATTATTATTAATGCCTTGCAGGGGTGGCTGGTGTTAATTATCCTGTAGGCATCCCAGATGTATTTCCCCTTTCCTTTTATTTCTTTTCCTTAATGTCTTGAGCCCATAGAATCCCAACTCAGTGGCAGTGTTTGAATAGGATTCCTCCAGAGGGGAGCACATGGTTGAGGGGTTATAAGGAACAGAGAGGAAATGGCTGCACAGAAACCCACTCAGTTTCCTTGGGCTGGGAGGGTACTCAAAAGTACTACCTCAAGGCCCTGTCATGGACTAATTAGTTAATCTTATAAAGAGCTTTGAAGATGAAAGGCGCCTTGGAGGTCTGAGAGCCGCCATTTCAGAGCATTTTTTAACAGCAAGAACGCTTCTTTGGTCCCCTGAATAAACTACCTCTCAGCACCATCCCTGACTTTTATTGTTGCCCTCAGAAATGTGTCCTGCATCTCAGTTTTGCTCCCTCAGGTGCTGATCTTGGCAGTCTAGGGAGGGGATTCTTAGATGGGCTGGGTTCCCTCTATCCCCCTTCCCTTCCTATAGCTCTCTCCTTCCCCTCGCCCTCTCCTTGGCCACCCATGGGTGCAGACCAGAGTGTGGCTGAGCCAGCCAGGCTCTGCTGTGTGCTCTGAGCCCCATGATCTGACCTCAGGTCATGAGGTAGTTGTCCCACCCCGACTGGGCCGCCATGGTGAGGATGTGTGCAGATCACTCCTGCACTGCTTCTGCGGCTGCAGATACATCTGGCCGCTCTCTTTCCCTGGTTCACCAACTAGAACAACTGCTCTTTTGCTCTTCCATGTAGAGCTGAGATTGGCATCCTTATCCGGGATCTCTGTGAGGCATGCTGGTTTACAGGTGGTAAATGACACTTGTCTGTCATTTCTGACTTTCCCCATTTCTGGTCCCCACCCAGTCCCTAGCTCAGGAATCAACTAAGCCCAGTTAAATGAACAGACGTGCATAGGACAGCTACCATGTGCCAGGAACTCTCCTGTTCAGGGCCTCGGTTTAGTAGGGACTGGTGTGGTGGGGGTGTGATAGAGAGGGGCTCCCAGGACATCAGAGAGCACAGCCTACTACTTCTGGGTTTAAGAGGGAGTGATTGGAGCCTAGGAGAGAGCAAAGCTTCAGAAGTTCCAGAAGCATGTGCTCTTTGTGAGCGAGGATGCTGGCCCCAAGGCAGCCGGGAAGAGCAGTGGGGGCTATGGCTGGAAACTATGTTGAGGCCAGTGTTAGGGCATCCTGAATGCCATGTCATGGAACTTCGTGCCCCTCCCTTAAGGTAGTAGGTAGTCCCTGAAAGCTCATGAGCCTCAGGGTGGCAGTATCAGCTCTGTGTTTGGGCATTTAGCTTCACAGTGGGCTGACTGGGGCTGGGGACTCACTGCTGAAGGTTTGCAGTGGTGTGGGTGAGAGAGAGGAAGGGCCTGGCCCTGGGGGTGGAGGCATGCCTGGTGCCTTCCTGAGATCCTTCCAGTGGGGTCAGTAGGACTTGAGGACTAGTGCTAAGTGGAGGGAAGGGGTGGGCACGTGGGTCACAGAGGGTGCGGGCCTGGCAGTGGGCGAGCATTCCTTGGCCAGGGTGAGGAATACAGGGAGTGTAGACTCCAGGGACAGCTGTGGGGTGTCCATATTGAGAAGTTGAGCAAACAATTAGATTGGAACTAAGTTCCCCACCTGGCAGGGAAGTTGAAAGCACAGAGAGAGGCAGGTAGAGTCTAGGCCGTGAAAGGTGTTGGGCTAACCAGGAGCTCTGGGACCACAGTGCTTCGATTGGAGGGGCCATGACCATTCTAGAGATTCCACGAGAGGCCAGGGCCCCTGAACATCAGCAATATGTGCCTCACAGGAACTGAGAAGACACACTACTCAGAAACACCAGGAGGTGGGAATGGCCTCAGGTTCTCGTCACTATACCCAAGCCCTTCCCTGCACCCCAGGCAGGTCGGGGCCAGGATTGCACAGCATGAATGAGTGGTGTTTGTGTCAACCGAGCAGTGGAGCTGGTGGTAGGCAGGCCAGAGTATGAGTGCTGGTGTCCCCAGTGCATGAGGAATACAGGGAGGTCCACACATTCAGACAGCATGCTAGTGCACAGACGGAGGTACAACCCATAGAGACAAAAGCATGGATCTGGCCCTTTTTGCTTTCCTTCATTATCCGGAGTAGTGAAAACAACCAGCAGCCTCAGTGTGTGGTTCTCCAAACATACCTTTTGGGCACCACCCCCTTAGTCTGGGGGATGGGTGAGTGAAAGGAAACAGAGTCTGTGGCAAAGTGAAGGGTTCTTTTTTGCACCAAGCGGAGGCCCATTTTCAAGTTTGACGGAGGGTTCTCTCCTTACTGTCCCTTTAACCCCTCTTACCTCTCAGTAGGTATCTCAGCTTCTCCATGTGCTCAATAGTGAAAAGACTCCCGTCATAGAAATCAATGTTATATTTAACTTTTAAAGTTGTGATAGACTAAGTTCAAATAGAAGAAAGCTACTCTACTTTTTGTAAATTTAACCTCACAGCCTGGGGCAGGGATTCTGAACAGGGTAATTATTTGCTGTGGGGGCTGCCCTGTGTTTGTAGAGTGTTTAACATCCTCCCTGGCCTCTACACTTTAGATGCCAATAGCACCCCACCTCCCAGTTGTGACAACCCAAAATGTCTTCACACGTTGCCAAATGTTCCCTGAGGGACAAAACTGTCCCCAGTTGAGAACCCCTGGGCCGAGGGCTGACTGGTCTTTGTGTGGCAGTGAGGTTCTTCTGGTTATTCACAGCCAGTAGCCCTTTCCATTCTCGTCTCATCATAGCACTTGTGCTGCAAATCACCCTTTTGCTTCAGCCCTCTGAAATTGGGGCCTGTTATAGGCTATTGTGCTTACAGTACAAGCTAGCCAGGATGGGTATTATTGGAAGCAAACTGATTTTTTTTCTCATTGAGTTCTGCAACGAAAAATCCTCTGGTGTTACTGTTTAATTGGTTAGTGGTGGCTGTTTGTCAATTTGCCAGCAGGCTCTCTCTTAACTGCTGTCATTTGACATCGCTGAAACATAAATGCAGAGTGATTGAGTTGCCAACATGCTATTAAGTCCCCTACAAAGAGCTTTTCGATGTACTACTGCTTCAGGCTTTTATGGTTCTATTGATTGATTCAAATACTAAAGAAAGCCTTGGCATAGACTGCCCTGGTAAGAAAATGCAGCTTCTGTCAGGGAAATTGTTGGGTATTGACACAGGGACAGTGGTGGGTTTTCCTTTGGTTTTCCTCTGGCAGGGACTTGGCCCCTGACAGAGCTTACTCAGTTGATGGGTGTTGCCTACCCATGCAGAATAGTGGTCACTGGTCTTTATGACATAGGCCTATTAAGTTGGAGGAGCCCAGGAAGTAGATAGCTACATCAGATTTCAGGGTAGTTCCACTGACTCTTATTTCAGAGGAGCAGAAGATTGCCACAAGTTTGTTTTGGTTTCAGAGCCAGTCACTCACCATTTGAGACCAAAGATGGCAGATGACTTTTGAAAGGGTTGGCTAATCTTTGACAGGATGACAAGAACATCCCATGACATTAAGAAGATACTAGTTTATGGTCTTGAAATTGTGCTTTTGGACCAGACTGCCATATGCATCAAAAATCTGTTTGTCATTGGTGTCTGTATGGGGTTGAGAGGCAGTTTGTGACAGTCAGGGACCACTTAGAACTTCTAGTGCACTGGGGACCAATGTCCTGGGGTTGGCCTCCACCTTCCATCGTCAGACTGCCCCTCTGGGCTGGACATCACAGGTGTATGCCATTGGTTGTAAGGCTGTGAGTGGAAAAATCCCACAGTCAGTGTGGGTCTGTCCCCTTGACCTGGGAACCCCCTTGGGACATGTTCTGAGTTGTGAAGTTTCAGAGATTCAGTATGAAAATTTTATTGGATAATAATTGTTGGAAGTCTGATAGTTAGAAATTGCACTCAGTGGAGGACAATTCAACACAGTAGTGGATGAGAATATTCCAGAGCCACCCCATGTGGGTGGGAATTCTGCAATCCTTATTGAGGATTTGAGCCAGTAACCTGTCTCTCTGTGCCTCAGTTCCCTCACCTATTAATGATGACAGTTTAGCTCCTGCTTCAGAATTCTTTTCAGCAGAGAGAGTTAGTTCCTGTGGAAGGCCCCCCTTTCATGTGCACTATTTGAGGGAGACTGCCATTACGGGGACCATCTTGTATTGGCAGGGCCATGCACTTGAGTATTCCCATACAGAGGTGTCTGTTCCTTTGAAGTACTCCCCACTCTAGAGCATTCTGTATGTGCCCACATAGCACGAGAGCCCCCTAACCCGGGCAGATCCAACCAGGCAGGAGGAAGACCACGTTGAGTAACCTGATGCTATGTTTTGCTTTCAGACTCTTTCCCAGCTTCCCTATGGGAAAGCGCTCTACAGTTATGAGGGGAAAGAACCCGGCGACCTCAAGTTCAGCAAAGGCGACATCATCATCCTGCGGCGCAGGGTGGATGAGCACTGGTACCACGGGGAGCTGCATGGAGCTCATGGCTTCCTGCCCGCCAGCTACATCCAGTGCATCCGGCCCTTGCCGCAGACCCCGCCCCAGGGCAAAGCACTTTATGATTTCGAGATGAAGGACAGAGACCAGGACAAGGACTGTCTGACCTTCACCAAGGTAAGGGAGGTCTCTGTGAACACTGCCAGTCACCCTCCTCAATTCCAGCCTTCCTGCCAATTTCAATTCTGGCTCCTTCTTGAGATCCACTCATCCTATTGTGCCTCTGTAAGTGGGGAGAGCAGTTGTTCCTATTTCCTGAGTTTTTGTTCAGTGGAAGATGAAGGTACGCAGCCTCACAAGTAGCCCCACCTGAGAACTGACAGGGCACTTTCTGGGTAACAGACACAGGACCCTCTGTCATCTGAGTCATAGTGTCTCAGTGATGACTCAGGTGTGAAGGCATGAAGTCTCTCCAGGACATGTAGGTCCTGGGAGAGGAGGCTTATCAAGGAAGGCTGCTGCAGAGACCCCCTTTTGTCTCACAGGGAAGTGGCGGTAGGGCCCGGCAACCAGCATGCCACAGCCCCGTCCTCTGAAGTACCAGAGGGCGTGTGGACACGTGTGCTTAGGGCCAGGATGGTATTGCAGAGAGGAACTCTGGTTGGTGACAAACTAGATAGCATTTACCAGCAGCATTGTCCTGGCAGAGCCCAGTGAGATGCAGAGGGACCTGGCTGGTAGCCATCCCGGGCCTCTGAGGTTGGAAGGCATGGAGCAGCCTGAGGTGGTGGCCCTATTCACCTCGATGTTCCATTCCCAACCATAACTGACAAGCTCCATTCTCATCTGTGGACATGCCTCCTCCCTTGTTTTCACACTTACACATAATCCTCTTTGTGTTGGGCAAGGTCGGGGCCCCTAAAGCACTTATTTCTACCCAGTGGCAGTAAGAGCAGTTGCCCAACTTTACCAGCGTGCTCACGCTATATCTCAACCCCCAGGTAGTTGGAGCCCATCTTGCTGATGTTGAAACCAAAGCTCCATGAGACTGAGTCACTCACCTGAGGCTGGTGGCCTGGCCTCTCCTTCTGCCTTTCATGTTGTTTCCCCTCTGTCCTGCTTCCCTCCCTCCACCCCAACCCTGTGTGTGCGTACACGGTTGTAAATAACAGCTAGAACTCTCAATCTCTGACTTTAAAGCCCAGTTCTCTCTCACTTCTGAGAGGCCATTGTTATTCTCTCTCTCCCCATCTGCTCAGTACAGAACTTGGCTGTGGTCCTGAGCTCTCTGGAGGGCTGCTGGAGTGCCATGCACACCATTTTTGAGCAAAATTGGCATGTCCTGTGCATGGCTGCTATTTATGTCTTGTTCCATTGTTCAGACTGACAGTGAATAATCTATTTTTCATTCACGGATTCAACTCTTTCTTCCTTTCTTTCATCAAGGTGTTCTAATGCTAATTCTGATTGTCATCTGGCTAATGCAGCTTCCCGGGAAGCTGCATCCAGACTTGTCTCCCCTTCTCCCTCCTCCTCTCCCTCTCCATTTCTCTCAGTCTGAGAACCAGAGTGGCAGCCTGCCTGGAGTGCAATGTCAGACAGAGGCCCCACTTTGCTCCTTTCTCTGCTCAGTGGACTCTGGAGAACCTGCCCTGAGAGGAGAATGCCCTGGAGGCCTGTGATGTTTTGTACTCACACTAGTGACCGTGAGTAGGGACATCTCTCAACCTCTTGTGTTCTGGTTGGGCTCTTACTAAGGAGACAGACTCTGTTACAGCTCCGGCTTCTCTGAGCTCAGCTGGCTCAAGGGACAGACACAGCCATCCTCACAGACTCATATTAGAGGAGGCTATTTGAGCTAGGAGAGGTCAATTTGCATTGACCTCTGCAGAGCCGTAAAGCCCCCAGCCTCCCTTGACATGAGCAAAGGCCTACTTCCACACCACCAACATAACCTGCTGTGTCCTGTGAGCCTCTGCCTGGGACACTCGACTCCAGGGTGAAGACCAGAGCCCACTGCACAAGAGGACAGAGAGGCATTTGCCCACCTATTAACAAGATGTGTCAGCCTCCAACTCTGCAGGGCACTGTGCTACACCCAGGGAACACAGACAGACCCACTGCCTTCTAGAGCCTCAAGTGTAATAGGAGAGGGGGGCAGTAGCAAGTCAAGAAATAAGTGTTCAAAAGTCAGCCTCAGAGAACAATGCTGGTTACCCAGGAGCCAGACTAGGCATTTAGTGACATCTCCAAAATATTCAGTGATAGAGCTTAATGTTTGGTATTTCAAAAGAAATAGTAAAATGTAGTCCTCATGGGGAAAATTAGAACTCAGGCCTTCTTAGATTCATTCTGTGGTTGGCATTGTTCTTAGTCTGAATCACATTGGGGGTTACGATGACTGTGTCTGGGGTTGAGTAGGCATCACAGTTGAGGTAGCTGTGGTTGTGAGGGCTTCTGGGGAGATGACATTTGAGTGGAGTTTGAGGAGCAAAGGTGTCAGTCACAAGAGGGTCTGGGGGTCTCTGGGTACATAATGTGATGATGTTCCCACAGGAAGCCAGGTAGGAAGTGCTCAGGGTGTTTTTCACAGGCTTTTATCCTTTGAATCCTGTGGATTAATGTGGAGAGTTAAAGACACCTGGGCTTTGTGTCTGTTCTGTGATATTCACCCCCTACTATGTTCACATAACCTTTTAAGGAACACCCACTTTTACCCTCCTACTTGGATTAGGGCACAACCACGCCTACCATGTACCTGTTCTGTCTGCAGCTCTCACCTCTAAATATCTTCAGACAAAGCCTCCAAAGGACATGGGTGATGAATCATGACTCTCTTCTGCTCTGTTCATATTTCCTCTTGCCCACACTGGCTTGCCTGACATTTCCATTCCATGTGCATCTGACCAGCTCACTGTTTCCCATGCCCAGGTTGCTGGTTCCATTTATGACAACCTCCATTCATATCAAACCTCAAGTAACTCTGGGCTTGGCGTCCTTTGGGCTTGGCGTCACTGCTTCAGACCAGTTTGGTTTTGCCTGCGTGGAGTGCTTTGTTGTTTGCATGTGTTCCAGTCTGCAGTCATCAAGGAAAGAGGGATCTCTAAAATCCACGGATGGTGCTAACTCACCTTTCAAAAGCATCATTGTGATGGGATTGATTGGGTTTTAAAAGGCAGGAAGCAGCTGGATCAAAGCAAGATTTTTACCCTCGGCATTGGCTTTTGAACAGTCCTGTTAAAATTGCATTAATTAAAGTCATTCTAAAACCAAAGTCCTTGCTTCATTTAAGAAGAGAATGAATAATTACTTTTCGTAAAGCAGCTATAAAAAGCATATTTGATAACTTCTTCATAGTACCACTCCAAAAACCTGGGCATGTGCAAATGCAAAGAGTAAAGGAAAGAAGTGCACCGTGCCCAACTGAGCTCTGCCAGATGCTCCCTTCTAAGCTCACTTGAGACTTTGCTGTGTGCTGCCCTCCACATGCACAGGGAGGGAATGGGTTTGCTGGGGAGGCATCCTTGGAGCAGGGATTTTGCACTTAGGGATCCCACATGTGATCTTAGGAAAACACTTAACCTTGCTGGGCCACTTCATCTTCAAGGTCAGGACACAGATACCTACCTACAGGGGGCTGCCAAGGGCTAAATGATCCAAGTAAAGAGCTAAGCTTAGGGCTTGGCAGACAAGAGGGGACCTTGAATTCCTTTCTTTTTATAGAAGCTTATTCCATGTTACCTTATTTTCATTCAACTACAAAATTCAGCAAATATGTGTGGAGCCCTGACTATGTAAATTCCAGTTTATATGAGAACATTTTCCTCACCCTGCCAGGGAGCTGTGCTGGATATTAAGGGCCTGGGGCTGCCATGTGGTGAATTTACTCTGCAATGCTCAGGAATCCTGAGAGGCCATGAGATTTTCTCAGGCAGTGCCTGGCTGACCCCAGAGTCACTTTTGCACCTGGCTTACAGTAGGAACTTGAGGCTCACTGTGTTGGACCAAACCCCATAGTGGTTGCCACGTGACGCCACAGGACAGTGGGCACAGGGACAGCTCCCTTCCAACCCTCACCTCACACCCTCCCCTCAAGTCCCCAGGAATGTTGTGTGTTGGCAAAGACTCACAGCCACACTGTTGGGGTCACCACAACACACTTCTTATGATCTTCTTATGCTGCTGAATGTTTAATCATCACCTCCATAAAGTGTAGGACTTCTCTTCTATAAGAATGAACCCAGCATTAATCCTAAACTATGTTCTTCTGATGAGGTAGGCTTAGATACAAATCAGGTGTAGACAGTTTGGGCTCTAGAGTCAGGTAAGCAAGGGTACAATTCATGACACTTTTTTATTATTGCATGGTAACTTTGAGACATTTACTTAGTCTGTGAGTCTCCTTTTTTAACTGTACAGTGGAGTTAATAGGATTCAATGAGCAAAGGCATTTAGAGATCTGAGCTCAAAATAGACATTCAATAAATATTTGCTTTCTGTGCTCTGCTTATTCCTGTTTCAAGAAAAGGTGAAGTTCAGTCAGATACTTGTCACTTTCTATGTTAGCCCAGAATGTGCACAGGAAAACCAACACCTTCCTAAGACTCTTGCTACTTGGAGAGCTGAGAATTTGGCTCGGGGTTTCATGGCTAAATCTCAAGGGGGTGTGAAATCTTAGCCCCTGAGTCAACTGCTGTCCCCTTGCTGGTCACCTGGGCCTGCTCTGTGGTCTCTGCTTCTTCCTGAGGGGCAATCTGGAATGCTTTTGGGGCTGGAAAGACTCAGGAAGCTAAGTGGGCTGAGCCTCTGTGCAGTCTTCCATTGGGGGCTACACTCAGAAGTTACCAAACAACCTCAGTCACCTTCATGGCTCCTGACTTCCTCCTTCCAGTTGGGCAGCAGCCCTGCAGCCACTTCACTTTTACTAAAGGGACCAAGCCTGCACACAGTGGAGGTGGCTGGGAGGGCAGTGGCAGCCTGTGGGCTGCTGAGGGATGTCCTTGCACAAGCCCTCATTTGGACATCCATGCGGGGTTCAGAGAAACTGACGGGGAATCTTTTAGATTTTCAGGTGGAGCTTGGGGTATGTGTGAAGCTTTGTCAGGAACTATCTTCAGACCTGTGCAGAATGTGAGCTCTTCCCTCAGGACGAGTCTCCCAGCTGGTGTGCCCCCCGT